CAGCTCAGGTCACAATCTCAGAGTCCTGGGATCTAGCCACACATCATTGGGATCTCAGCTCAGCAGGGAAGCCTCTGCTAAAGTTGTCTCTGCTGAGCTTCCTCCAGGTTGTCTCTCTCCCCCCTGCCTGCCACTCCACTTGCTTGTGCTCTCTCACACACAAAATAGCACGATAAAATTGAGGGAGAGGTCTCAAAAACAGTTGTGAGGATGTCATTTGGAGTATAGAGTTGACCATAATCAGATAACATAGAAAACCCACAAAGTTTTTATTTTTATTATTTATTTAAGAGAGGGAGAGAGAAAGAGGGTCAGGTGGAGGGGCAGAGGGTGAAAGACAATCTTAAGCAGACTCCATACCCAGTGTGGAGGCCAATATGGGGCTTGATCTCACAATCCTGGAGTCATACCCTGGGCTGAAATCAAGACACTTAACTGACTGAGCCACCCAGGTGCCCACCCTGCCCCCTCACAAAGTTTTTAAATGAGTTATATGTGGGACAGTACCAACAGCCTGAACCAAAAGGGACTGAGAGATATTTCACATTGCTAGTCAGCTCCCCACAGGCGCCACTGCTTCAGTAGTAACTAAGGAAGAAGATGGTCAGGAAGGATGGTCCAGAGGGCAGGGCTAAGAGACACAGAGATCAATGGACTAGGGAAGCCACTCCAAAGGAGTAGAGTCCAGGCCCGAGCAGGGAAGATTTCTTCTCCCAGGCCCAGACAGTATTTGTCTAGCAGGAGTCAGAATTGCTCTGTTTAAGGTTGACTATGTACCTTTCATGCTTTTCTTTCTTTTTTTTTTTTAATTTTTATTTATTTTATGATAGTCACACACACACAGAGAGAGAGAGAGAGAGAGAGAGAGAGAGAGAGAGAGAGAGAGGCAGAGACACAGGCAGAGGAAGAAGCAGGCTCCATGCACCGGGAGCCTGACGTGGGATTCGATCCTGGGTCTCCAGGATCGCGCCCTGGGCCAAAGGCAGGCACCAAACCGCTGCGCCACCCAGGGATCCCCATGCTTTTCTTTCTTGAATGGAAATGTCTGTTAAAGTTATCCTGTCTCGGGATCCCTGGGTGGCGCAGCGGTTTGGCGCCTGCCTTTGGCCCAGGGCGCGATCCTGGAGATCCGGGATCGAATCCCACGTCAGGCTCCCGGTGCATGGAGCCTGCTTCTTCCTCTGCCTGTGTCTCTGCCTCTCTCTCTCTCTGTATGACTATCGTAAATAAATTAAAAAAATTAAAAAAAAAAAAAAAAAAGTTATCCTGTCTCTGTCTCATTGTGCACTCTCAGAGTGATAACTGAAACTCAGGACATTTTACCCAGAAAGAGTGTATAAAATCCAAAGTGCCAATGGCTGAGATCAGAAACCTATTATCCAGCCTTTCCAGGATGCTCCTCCCTCTTTCTCTTCACCTCTCCTGTGTCTGCAAGGCCCTTCCTTGGTTCTTTGCCTAGCAAACACCTGCTCTTCCTTCAAGGCTCCACTCTTGTCCTTGGGATTTTCTGGAGGCATGGATTAAGTTTATTGACTTTTTATTCACTGTTCTGCTCCTTGTAGGTTAGTAAATATTTATACAGGAGGAGAAATGGACAACCAGTCAGGAGACCTAAGTATCAGTTTTATTAGTCTCAGGTTTGCCACTGACCAGCTCTGTGACTCAGGGCATCACTTCTCTCCGGACCTTACTTTACATCTGAATAGAAGTAGGAAGGGTTCTTTCTGATTCAAGACTAAATTAGATTTATTGAAAGCCATCCTCAGGCCTTGGGTGGGGATGAAGTAGTAGATTGGGAATAAGACAATTTAGGTTCTATAGAAATCCACTCTGTGGACTCCAGTGGATCCCTGACCTGACCCTTGGGCTTCCCTAATTGTAAAGAGAGATGCTGGCATTGAATTTGGGGTGCTGAGGTGCTGAGGTGCTGAGTTTTTTTTTGTGGGACATGGATCCCTGTCCACAAGGGGGGAAGTATGCATAAGTGGGAATGGCAAACAGCTGGAAAAAACTGATCCACTTGGTTTTTTTCCTCCCCTTGCTCCCTGCTCACAAGAGAATAAATCTCTTCCAACCCTCTCCCAGCTGGCTTGCCTTATTCAGCCTCAGGTTGATTTTTTCCCTTTTGCTGCAGCCAAAGTCTGGCTGGAAGTCCTCTAGCAAATCTCAAGTACTCCTGCTTCCCAGTCTTCACTCATATTTTCTCTGCTTTGAGTTGAATGCACTCATGTGCCATGCATGCCTCCTCCCCTTTGTTTATTCACAGCATACTTGCCTTTGAAAACTCAGCTCAAATTCCAGTTTAGTTCAGTTTAACTGAACTTGTTTCTTTTTGAGCGCTCACTATCTGCTTGGCTCAGTTCTGGGCACTGGGGATATTGCATTGAGTCAGCAGTTCCAGCCCTCGGGGAGCTCACAATTGACTGGTTGACTGGGAGAGTCCAGCACACAAGCAGATCATTTACACATGGTGTGGGATGTGCCATAAAAGAGGGCGGCAAAGGGCACTCTGGCGGTATAGAGCAGGGCCCCTGCCCAGCTTGGCTGCTGGGGTCAGGGGTTGGGAAACAGGCAGGAAAGGCTTTTTGGAAGGGATGATGCTTGGGTTGAGGGTTAAAGGAGGAGCTGTTTGCAAAGTGAAGAGATGTCAAGCCATGTGCCCCAGGCAGAGCCCCCTCTCTGTCATGTCTGCTGTGTGGCTCCCATCTTGGGTGGAAATCCCACCTTTTATTTTATTTTATTTTTTTTTGAATTCCCACCTTTTATTATTCTGGGCTGGTACCACCATTTCTACATGCTACATTTCAGTGTAGCATGTAAATTCTGGATCCAGCTCTTTGAAAACTGTCCACATGGTGATCAGGAAGATGAGAGGATGGTCATACAAGGAACAGTAGCTGAATTGTGCATATTTAGACTGAGGGGAAAGGATTCTGAAACAGAAGGGAGTTTTAAATAACACTGAGCTTCCAGGGGGATCCCTGGGTGGCTCAGCGGTTTGGTGCCTGCCTTCGGCCCAGGGCTTGATCCTGGAGTCCCGGGATCGAGACCCGTGTGGGGCTCCTTGCATGGAGCCTGCTTCTCTCTCTGCCGCGTTCTCTCTCTCTGTGTCTCTCATGAATAAATGAATAAAATCTTTAAACACACACACACACACACACACAAAAGAAAAAAAACATTGAGCTTCCAAGTATAACCAAAGTGTAGAAGCTTGCAGGAGACAGATTTCAGCTGAACACAAGAAAGAACTCTCTACTGGTCTTTCTTTAAATGGGTACAACTTAATAGTGAAAGGGAATAAAGGGGAAAGGAGAGAAAATGAGTGGGAAATATCAGAGAGGGTGACAGAACATGAGAGACTCCTAACTCTGGGAAACGAACAAGGGGTAGTGGAAAGGAAGGTGGGTGGGGGTTGGGGTGACTGGGTGACGGGCACTGAGGGGGGGCACTTGATGGGATGAGCAATGAGTAATATGGTATATGTTGGCAAATTGAACTCCAATTAAAAAAAAGGATACAACTTGTCTGAGCAAATTATAATGGGAGAGGTTCAAATATAAATCCCCATTTGGTAATCAGATTGTGGGAACTGGTAAGAGTTGAATAAGATGACCATGAAGGTTCTTTCCAAGGGTGGGTTCTCTCATACCTACTCCTCACCCCCACCACTGTTTTAGAGACCTTCTGCTTATGCCTTTCCGTACTCTCACCTGCTGACTGAAGTCCAAGCTCCAGGGCATAGCACACAGGGCCCTCTCCATTCACACCCCTTCTCAACATGGCAATACCAAACCACTTACAGTTCTTGGAGCATTCATGCTGTGTTCTGTGCTTAAGATGGCCTCCCTCCTCCTTTGCCTTCCCCATAATTTACAATTGGTGAAATAACTCTCTCCCACTCTTTTTTAAAAATTTTTATTTATTTATTTTTTTTAAGAGAGGGCAAGGGCAGAGGGAGTTAGGGAGATGAGAATCTCAAGCAGACTCCATGCCCAGCGCAGACAGAGCCCAGTGTCGGATTCTATCTCACAACTCTGAGATCATGACCTGAAATCAAGAGTCAGACACTTAATGGACTGAAACTCACGTTCCCACTGTGTCTTGATAGAAGGGTAAGTGCAGTGGTCTGCATTTCAGAAGGCACCTGGGAGGTCAAATCCCTCCTTTATTAGTTTCTGGGTTTAGCTGGAATGCATGTGACAAAAGTCCAGCCAACTGAGCCTTCTTTGATAGTGCTTTGAATCCAAAGACATAAGGAATAGATAATGGTGATCTGGTGGAGTGGGGGTAGGCAGAACAGTGACCTGAACAGACTGTGCAGCAATAGCATGGTTGCTGTCCTTTTTCCTACTTTTTAAGCTTCTACAAGTGCCCTTGGTACTAGCATATTTCCAAGTCAATAAATATTTTATAAAATGAAATAATGAAGCATAAGGATAAAGGTCAAAGATTTAATTTAAATCAAATTGCATGCAAGACTGGACTACTTAATGATTAGAACCAGAACTATAGAGGAAAATAAAGAGATAGGAGAATGGTCACACCAGTAATAGAAATAAGGAAATGCTAGTTTAGGGATGACAGGAGGAAGGATGGGGAATAACAGATTTTTATTATAATATATATTTAAGGGACAGCTGGGTGGCTCAGTGGTTGAGCATCTGCCTTTGGCTCAGGGTGTGATTCTGGAGTCCTGGGATCAAGTCCCGTGTTGGGCTTCCTGCATGGAGCCTGCTTCTCCCTCTGCCTGTGTCTCTGCTTCTCTCTGTGTCTCTCATTAGTAAATAAATGGAATCTTTAAATATATATATATATATTTAACATTTTAGTTATATTAGTTGATGCTAACATGGGCGGACAAATTAAGTCAACTAAAGGAGTGAAAGGCAAAAGTAAGATGGAAAGGACTTTAATATTAGCTCTTTCTTCTGGGACTTCTTTTTTAAAAAAAGATTTTATTTATTGATTTCAGAGAGGGAATGAGTACACAAAGGGAGAGGGAGGGGAGGAACAGAGGGAGAGGGAAATTGTAGACTGAGGGACAGAGGGACAGGAGAGGCAGACTCCCCACTGAGCAGGGAGCCTGCCTCAGGGCTCTATCCCAGGACTCTGGAACCATCACCTGAGCCAGACAACCGACTGAGCCACCCAGGTGCCCCTTCTCCTGGGATTTCTGATGAACCAATCAATACATATTCACCAAATAATAAGCTAGAATATTCATTTAGGCTGAAAGTAGATTCTAGGTTTTATATACCATGCATATATTTCAAAAACATGTTACACTTGGATAGCAAATTTTATGAACCACACAGTAACTAAGATAATAAAAAATACACAGAAATTCATGCCTATAAAGAGGCCTGTTTATTACTGATAACACTTCATTTGGTTAAAACCCACAAGAAATCCACACACAAACACTTTAAGTGCAAATTCTCACAGGCAGTACTTATCATACACCCTGGTGTTTTCATCAGAAAAAAATGAGAAAATGTTGACAAAAACTGCTAAAACAAGGGCACAGTTTTGATCTACTGCTACAAAGAAAAATAATTCATTCTTAACTGCATATATTTTATCGGGTATATTCAATGACACATACAAAGTTTATTTTAGCCTAAAACAAGAAGGCCTCACCATATATACAGATGCAGACTCTTGCCTGAGTGCCTCTTGTAAGATATATGACGAATCATAGCAGTGAACAAAATACACCAAATAGTACCAAATTAGTTGTGACTCACTTGGAAGGTAGTGGTAGTAGGTTCAAAATGGCACTTATAACCAGTGATATTAATTCTACATAGATACTTTCAGCCTACTTGGTCAACATCTTGATATTAAGTCTACATAGATACTTTCTTAGCCTACTTGATCAACATCTTGCTTTGAGTGTAAATACTAGGCATTATATATAATTTCCAAATAGGAGTATGATCTGATCTCTCAAAAGAAACAGAATATTTAAGTGTGTGCGTGCTTAAATAAGATTATTTATTACAAATTTCAGTAATGAGAATTGTTTAAAAAACTGAATCAGAAAATTAACAGTTTGACTGTTTCTTAAACAATTAGCTTCTTTAAAATACAATCCCCTAATTCCTATCATTACCATCCAAGCACTCTATAACAGGTACTATACTGGAGGTGGGAGGATATGAAAAATAATAAAAAATGATCTCTGCTCTTAGAGAGTTGATAGTCAGATACTCTTTCTCAGTCAAGGAATGCCAATGAATTAATGAAAACGGAATGGCCAACACCTCTGACAATATTATAAGGTTCAGTGATAACTGTTTCAGGTCAATTTAATTTGGCAGTAATACTTTCAAAGTTCAGCTTTTAAAATGCAGGGAACAGGCTAGATATGTTCTATGTTTATATTTCTCACATTAAGGTCAGTGTATGTACCACCAGGCAGATGCAACAATTGAGGAAGGGAGGGAGAAAACATTGAGAGGCCCTGTGATAAACATAGTTCCTTTCTGGCAGCACCAGTTTCCATGAGAATTGAAGGAATCATTTTTATATTGGAAGAATTTTATTATGTGGAATGCAAAATTCAACTTAACATTTCATGACAGAACATGAAATTTCAGGAGTGGTAGACTGCCTCAGATTTTTCACTTGGGCCCCTTCCCTCACATATTCATGTTCCTCTGCTTTAGGGTTACACTGGTGGAAAAATTTGAGAAGCAAACTTTAGATATATCATTTGCCCTTATCTTGGTCGCTTTACTCATTCTTGTATGTCCTCTCTTTAAAGTATAGAGTCTTGAACTAACTAACAAAAAGAAAATATGGTTGGATGAATGTAATGGTGTGGTTAATATTTTCAAGTAACCAATGGTTAAAAAAAACCTAACTCAATTTTCAACTGAAACTAAAGAAAGTCATGCTGTGTAAAGTCTTGAAGTGAAAGGTTCTTTTCTTTCCACTTGAACTTCTTATGGCTTATGGTCAGATGCTCTGGGGGACAAATGTAAAAAATATTTCTCAAATTTTGTGCTTTGGGTGCCCCAAGTACAGGGAAACCTGAAATAAAATGTGAGAGCAATTGACCATCCATTGTGATAGTATGACTCTTTCCTCATCAGTTTCTAGAGCAATCTCAGAAAAGCAAGTGAATTATAAAAGGCCATAATAAATTAACATACAGTAATATCCAGATGGACCAAAAAAGGCTATGAAATAGATTCAAAATTACTTCTTACAATGTCTTAAATATTCTCACAATAATAACAAAATAACTAAAAGTCAAAAAAACAAACGTAGTTATGAATAAGTTTAAAGCATTCTGAATGAATACAGTTCAGATTTCTTATCAGTGAGGTAATAGAGCAATAGCTTTTCACAGTAATAAAATGTAGGAGGGGACCTAGGGAAGGAGGGAGGTAGAGAGAAAAAGGCATAAAAGAAATTTATCCAAGCAAAATTTGGATTTTTCAAGCATCACAAACATCAGTGGAAAACATCGGAAAGAAATACCAATAGCAGCAGTTCATAGAACAACTTCTCCATTAACTCCAGCTAATGTCCATTCCAGAAGCAACCTCCTTAAGAAACGGGAGGCCTATTTCCTATGTAAGGATATTCCCAAAGTGTCCCATCTCTCAGAACCTCGCCGTCTGCTGAAGTTACTACACCCAAGCAGCAATACAGTTAAAACAAAACCCTCAGACATCCTATAATGCTATACATTCTTCAAGATGAACAAAATGGTGTTCAAGTCTCACTTAATTTGCCAGGTTAAATTAAAAATAATATCCAAGCAGCAAATGAAACAGCAAATGAAGACCTCACTCATGCATCTACTACTCAACATATACAAAAACTCTCTTGTGAGCTAAATTCTTCTAGACAGGGAGTGAAACTCAAATGTTACTTTCAGTGCTCTCTATGACATCGCCATTGTTCCCACCTGAGTTTTTAAAAAAGTATTGGAAGGAACCCTTAAAAGACAGTACATCCCTTAATATTTAAATTTGTTATTTGGGTTTTTTAAAAAGGTCCTTATTCTCTTTTATTCTGTCCTCACTGAAGACAGAGAACAGTTTTTCACATTACTTCTTAATTTGAGTCCTTTAATAAAAGATTCAACTAATAGTATAAGACTTCTTAAATTATCTCAGCAGCTTTCTCTCCTCCAGAGTTAAATGGTCTTAATTCTTTGAACTTTTTATCACAAGTCTTATTTTCCAATCTGTGCTGTATTCCTTTTTATTTCTGCTATGTCCTCTCCTCCCCAGTTCCCACATGATCCTAAGACACAACATCCCAGCAGAAACAATCAGTAAGAGGGGTACTTTTTCTCTCCTAAAACTTGGCCTCTTTTTAGTGGTTGCTAATAAAGGAAAACAAAAGGTTCACTATCTGCTCATAATAATAACAAATACACACAGCTAAACAACTTGCCCACAGCCAGTTTATTCCCAGCTTTAAGAAAGATAAGTTTGCCCTTCATGAGAATCATTTCCTGTGCCATCTTAGTGACCTATTGTTTATTTCTATTGCTTATTTTCAGTGTATGCTTTGACTTTGCCCCAATAACTCATTCCTTTTATTCAAAACTCTAGAAAAGCCCAGTTTTGATCTACACACTCAATGAAAATGGATTCATTTTCATGGTACTGTTGATAAAGAAAAAGCAAAACAATGTAGAGCCCAAGGCTGAGACATATAGTCCAGGACTTCCGTCTTTCCTGGTTGCCTTGGGTTACTAAAATTATCCTGTGAGGCAACTGTACACCACTATGTCAAGTTCATGTCAAAGATTATGCTAATACAGACTTGAGAGCTTGGCTACAATCAAGTAATTCCCTTAATCTATACACTTCAGGAACATCTGTAACATTTTGTTGATTTTAACTTTGGATTTTTAAATATTTGAGATAAGATTCTAAGTTTTAATAACTTTTCACTTTAAGATGACTTAAATGTTGCATTATATTAAAGCACTCGAAACTGTTCTCTTTATAATAGAATGACAATCATGACATGGCTTTAGTGATTATGAATGAACTATTTTTTTTTTAAATGCTTCTTTTTTTTTAATTTTTTTTTTTTTTAATTTATGATAGTCACAGAGAGAGAAAGAGAGAGAGGCAGAGACATAGGCAGAAGGAGAAGCAGGCTCCATGCACTGGGAGCCCGACGTGGGATTCGATCCCGGGTCTCTAGGATCGTGCCCTGGGCCAAAGGCAGGCGCCAAACCGCTGCGCCACCCAGGGATCCCTGAATGAACTATTATACTATTTTCGCTCCACTTTGTTCTTTAGTCACTGAAACACAGATACTAAAGCCAAATATACATATTTTTCATATATACAGCGTTGTTCACACTACTTGGTAGAACATAGGCCATCTCCTAAATTACATTCTACATTCCCAAAAGCAAATAAAACAAAAAAAATCTGCACATTTCTTTTTCAGTACAAAGTCTTTGAAAAACAAAGTCATTCAGAAGTATGCTGTCCCCTACATTTACCTAGTTGTCTATTATCTACAGTCATACAAGATCTAGCTATAGGAAAGGAAGGAACAAATTAACAATAGTGGCAATACAAGAATTTGAAAATTATATTTGCATTCTATGGTTTCAACCAAATGTTAGCTGGTAGCTACAACAAACCATACCATTATTTACTAAGTATTCTAATCAGTTTAAATTTTATACTATTTTTTTAGGAAATAAATACTCTAATACCAGTTATATCCCACTAGCAATTTGTTTAGTATAATTACACCCAAGGCCTTGTTTTGTTACCACATGAGTTTAAATATTTTGTGAGTTGTATAGGACAGGATACATTTTAAGAAGATTAAATAGTACTTCTTTTTTTTTTTTTAAATAGTACTTCTCTACTAAGATTTCTTTAGAATACTGGAGAATCAACCAAAAGTGACCTTCCAATTTTTTTTTCCACATTGAGGGGTGCCTGGGTGGCTCAGTCAGTTAAGCCTCTGACTCCGGGTCTCAGCTCAGGTCTTGATCTCAGAGTCATGAGTTCAAGCCCTGCAGTAGGCTTTACACTGGGCATGGAGCCTACTTGAAAAAAAATATGCAAAAATTTTTTCCATGTTGAAAAAGATAAATAGTACTCTGGAGATCAGAAATTCTACAGTAGGCAGCAAGATGACAGAATAAATTGGACTTCAGTTTTAAAACATATATAGTTTTAGTGTTTCATAACACCTAAAATCTGGATATTTTATTTCTTAGTAAAATTAGCATTACTTCATCTGATAAAGGAATAAATCTACTTATAAAAATGTAATTCCAAAGTTAGGCTTTTAAATAAATTAAGAGCTCCTTTTTTGGTTCAGATTTTCTTCTTTGCCTGAAGGCTGTGGTTATTGACATTTAATTCTCATAAGAAGATCCTTTAGTTACATTGAGACTGCTTTTTTAAAGATTTTTATTTACATTCATAAGCTTTCTAAAAGGGCAAATCTATTTGATATAGAGTGGAAGCACCTACATCATTTGAAAGATTTTCCTTAACTGTCTGAAAACGAAATGATTAAATTATATTCAATGGAGGAACACTGTTTTAATTCATACCATATCCTGAGAAGGCACTAAGAAATCTGACAAGAACGAAGCCACTAGGAGCATTGCCACTATTGTTTTACATTCGGTAAATGTCAGAATTTTAAATACATACAAGAAATTTACACTGCACCAAAAGCACCTGAAACCACATATTGTGGATTACATATTGTAATCTCTAAACTAGAAATGCTAATACCCGATTTCAAATACTCTACTTTGTAAGTTAATACCTGTGATGTAATAATGACACTTTTCCACAGTATTCTGGGAACAATGCCATTTTCTTGTCAATTTTATAGATTAATTTCCTTAACTAACTCTACAACTATATAACATTTATTTGCCTTTTTTTAAAAACCGTGCTATACACAATTACAATATGGAACTAAGCTTAATCACACTTTAATAAGAAAATTCACTTATGTATTGGTTTTCTTTTCTGTTGAAGGAAGAATAATGTGTTATTATAATACTTTTAATGCAATGACTTTCATTCAAGATTATGAAAAAATTTGATGCCTTTCTCTCTGGACCATTTCATTTCAAATTTATACAGTTGGTTTAGTCAGCCAACCAAAAAGAAAGAAAATAAAAGTAAAAAGTACTTGGCCAGAAGATAAGATAGAGAACGCTAATACGACTTCAACGCATGGAGTTCTTGGCTATTCTGTTTCATGTGCCACTGCAAAGTGATGATGTACTTGCGTGTACTAAACAGTACGCCAGATCAGTCCATTTTTACTGGGCTCAAGGAAATTCTCAATCAAATCTTCGATGAGTTTCCTCAATTCCTCTTCTAGTAAGGCAGTGTCACTGAAGAGAAAGATTAAGTTTTGAAATTCTTTATTTTCATCACCTTAAATTTTGTTTAAATTGTTATAATTTCAAAGGCAGACAATTAAACAACTGGTAAACCAAAAAGAAGTTCATTCAGTTAAAACAAAACAAGTACAAAGGAGGGAAAAATCAAACTGAAGTTGAACTGCATTAAAGGGAGTTCCTTCGTACACGATACATGGATGAGCTTCTGTAAATTTACAGATTTCTCCTGGGTCAGGCAATTTAATGGCCTAGAACACCAATACTAGGTATTATACTAAAATGGCTTCCTGAAATACTTTGAGAAACATCCAATAGATGTTATGGGATGATATGGCACGACTCAGATACAGAGTAGGGATGGGACTAAAAAAATGAGATGCTTAAAAAATAAATACACGTTTATAAGTATGTGCTTCAAAGTCATCATTGCTGCTGACCAGAACATTTCTAGGAAAGCCTCTTTTCAACTGCCTTCACGTGTCATTTGTCATTATTTAATTTAGTTTCCTTTAAACTCTACTCTGACTTCAAGGATGTCTTTTTTTTGCTCCCAAAGGAAATAAAATCTACTGTTAAATGCAAAGATTTAGGGACATACAAAATAATATACCTTGGACTCTGAAGGCAATTCCAAGAAACCACTTTGTCAAAAATATACTGATCAGTGACAACATTATAGGAGGTACTACTTTTAATAAGTTTAAATGGCCACTGAATATGTTTATTAAATCAATTTAGTGACAATTCATGCTCTTTAAAGGAAATAAACTGGACAGATTAAGTCAAAGCATATTAATATAAAAATGAATATTTGACAATAAAAATTATTTGTTGATTATTTTTTTAAAAGATGTTATCTATTTATTCATGAGAGACACAGGAAGAGAGAGGCAGAGACACAGGCAGAGGGAGAAGCAGGCTCCATGCAGGGAGCCCGACGTCGGACTCAATCCTGGGTGTCCAGTATCAGGCCCCGGGCCAAAGGTGGCGCTAAACTGCTGAGCCGCCCGGGCTGCCCTAATCATCTCTTTATGTTCATTATATGATAGGTAATAGTCACAGAGCCTTCCCAGTAATAAAAATTCACTAAAATTTTAAAATTCAGGGACACCTGGGTGGCTCAGCGGTTGGGTGTCTGCCTTTGGCTCAGGGTGTGATCCCAGAGTCTCGGGATCGAGTCCCCTATCAGGCTCCTTGCATGGAGCCTGCTTCTCTTGTCTCTGCCTCTTTCTGTATCTCTCATGAATAAGTAAATAAAATCTTTAAAAAAAATTTTTTTTAAATTCAATTCCCATGTGGTCCAGTTGCTTTGGAAAATAGTGTGGCAGTTCCTCCAAATGTTAAGCATAGAATTTCCATACGACCCAGCAATTCTATACCTACATATAGACCCAAATGAAATGAAAACCTGTCCACACAAAAAGTTGTGCACAAATGTTTGTAGCACTGTTATTCATAATAGTTAAAATGCGGAAATAACCCACGTGTCCACCACCTGATAAATGGATAAAAAAAAGTGTTACATACAACAGAATATATAGGCCAAGAAAACAATTAAAAAAAAAGAAAAGAAACAAAGTGCTGATTCATGTTATAATACAGATGAACCTTGAAAACATTATGCTAAGAAAAAGATGATAGTTACAAAGGGCCATATATACTGCATTATTCCATTTATATGAAATGTCCACAATAAGCAAGTCTATAATGACAGACGGTAGATTGGTGGTTGCCTAGGGCTAAGAAGGGGGGTGGATGGCAAGTGACTGCTAATGGGTATGGGGTTTCTTTGTGAGGTAATGAAAATCTTCTGAAATTGATGTAGTAAAAAAAAAATTTTGATTGTAGTGACATTTGCCAACTCTGAATATACTAAAAACCACTGAATTGTCCGCTTTGAATGGGTAAACTGTACAGTATGTGAATTTTATTTCAATAGAACCTATATAAATAAATACATGTAAATCTAAATATATATGTATGTATATATATTTAAGAAGTTCATTCTCACCTTTGCTCAGGTGATGCACACATCTCCGCATAATACTTTATCTTTGGTTCTGTCCCGCTTGTCCGAAGAGTAGCAACACAGCCATTTTGAAAAGTAAATGTAATCATTTGGCTGTTTTTACTCACAGGCAGCACCTATGCACAATGTTAACAACAGCTCAGTTACACTTGGCACCTTTTTCATTTTCAAGCGTTGTAAAATATATTGTACTCACACGAGGCATTTAAAGGAGTCAAATTCATAGAAACAGGAAGTAGAAGGCCTGCTGGCAAGAGGTGGGGGAAGGGGGAAATGAGTTGTTTAATGGGTATAGAGTTCAGTTCAGCAGGTGAGAAATTTCTGGACATCTGCTGCACAACAACGTAGATAGAGTTAACACTGCTGGACGGTGTGCTTAAAGATAGTGGTGGTAGATTTTATGTTATGTGTCTTTTACAATTAAAAAATCTTTTTAGGGGGATCCCTGGGTGGCTCAGCAGTTTGGCGCCTGCCTTCGGCTCAGGACGTGATCCTGGAGACGGGGGATTGAGTCCCATATCGGGCTCCTGGCATGGAGCCTGCTTCTCCCTCTACCTGTGTCTCTGCCTCTCTCTGTGTGTGTCTCTCATGAAGAAGTAAATAAAATCTTTAAAAAAAAAAATCCTTTTAAAGGGGCACCTGGGCTGCTCAGTGCTTGAGCATCTGCCTTTGGCTCAGGTCGTGATCCTGGGGTCCTGGATGCGAGTCCCGCATCAGGCTCCCTGCAAGGAGCCTGCTTTCCCCTCTGCCTATATCTCTGCCTCTCTCTCTCTGTCTCTCACAAATAAATAAATAAAATCTTAAAAAAATTTTAAATTATAAAATATAAAGGATTACATACACAATAACTCATAAATATACCATTTTACTGAACATTCATAATAGTACAGGCATTGGGATATATACCTTACACACATCATCTCCAGGCCTCAACAGTAATCTTCCAGAGTATATATAACTGCCAATTTACTGACATGGCTCAAAAAGAGTAAATGGCCTAGTTAAGGTCATCAGCTAATGTGGCAGAGCAAGAAGTTGAAGCCAGGTCTATCTGTATCAAAGTCCAAACTGCCTCTACGTTTGCAAAGGGCTTTACAATATTGAAGCATTTTCACAGACAGTTTATCAATAGTCTCCAAAACAGAGTGAGCATACCCTAGAGGATGGGCAAAATTATCCCCTGGGGTACAAAAAAATTTCATACTTTTAACCTAAAAGTTAAAAAAAGGAAAAAAATTTTAAAAATAAATAAAAAAGGAATCAAAGCTTTACTGATGTTGAACATACAGATTAATACTCTTCCTGGACTACAGATCAGTCTGTGAAACTTTTTTCGGGGTAACTGGGGGGTTGTACTAGGACAGAGGTGGTACCTTTCATCAGGTGTCCTGAACCTGGTCCTCTCTTTGAAACGTCTTTCTCAGTTAGTGGTACTACTACACACCACTTGCTTAAGACTGAGACCTTCCTGCCCTCTTTTTCACTCACAGAGCATCAACTAGCAAGTCCTGTCTATTCTATTCTTTATTTAATTCAACATTGTCCAACTCTCTCCATCACTACTGCTAGTGAATAGACACAAAAGGAATAGGAGTTGTATTCTCCACAAGAAGTTGTAGATTTCCCAAAATATATCATGCCCCTGGCATCCTGAGACAACAGCAGGACATTATAAATGGAAATTAAGGCTAATAATAATTCACAATAATCAAATACATATGATCAGCAATTTATGGCATTTAAATAGTTGTTGAGTACCTACCATGTAGGCAGGAGCTTTGACAGGTATAGAGGTATGTCAGAAATGGATCTGCCTGGGGAATCCCTGGGTGGCTCAGCGGTTTAGCGCCTGCCTTCAGCCCAGGGTGTGATCCTGGAGTTCCGGGATCAAGTCCCACATCAGGCTCCCTACATGCTTCTCCCTCTGCCTGTGTCTCTGCCTCTCTCTCTCTCTCTCTGTCTCTCATGAATAAATAAATAAAATCTTAAAAAAAAAAAAAGAAATGGATCTGCCAGGTACAGCACACTGATAACATAAGATAGAAAGTGATAAGTAACAAGAGGAAGGCACAATGTATAATGAAATCACAGGAGAAAGAGATCTAATTATGGGATCTAGAAGGTATGTGGAAGAGGTGACATCTACCTGAAGTCTTTTTTTTAAGATTTTTTTTTTTTTAATTCATGAGAGACAGAGAGAGAGGCAGGCAGAGGGAGAAGCAGACTCCTTGTGGGGAGGCTGATATGGGACTCTATCCCAGGATCACAACCTGAGCCAAAGGCAGATGTTCAACCACTGAGCCACCCAGGTGTCCCTGCCTGAAGTCTTAAATAAGGACTAAGGTGTGGACCTGCAGTAGTAGGAAGGAGAGGCAGATGGAGGAAATAGGTTGAGCAAAAACACAGATATTTTTATTTTCATTTAAAAAAAAGATTGTATTTATTTATTTTTTTTTTTTGAGAGAGAGAGAGAGATAACAAAAGAGCTTAGGGGATGGGGAAGAAGAGGGAGAAGCAGGCTCCCTGCGAGCAGGGAGCCTGATGTGGGGCTCCATCCCAGGACTCTGAGATCATGACCTGAACCAAAGGGAAATGCTTAACCAACTGAATCACCCAGGTGCACCAAAATGCATAATTTTAAAATAACAATGTATGCATATAAGAAACTGTAAGCTGTTCTATTTGGCTGCAGATATAGGGACGAAATGAGAAGTTGCAAATAGAAAGGCGAAATGGTGAGCTTTGAAACGACAGGCTTTTGGACTTTATTTTCAACCTCACACATCTTCCCTCTCTCCATCTGGTTCTCTTTTTGTCTAATTCTCTTTTGCATCTCCCTCCCCAGGGAGGAGCACACACTTGGAGAGAGAGGAGGACAAGATCAGAGGTAGGGAGCCTGTTAATGGGATTACAACTGCTCTGGAAAAAAAAAAAAACGGATCATAGTTTCAAGACATTCACAGGCTTGAACTTCCACTATTTTACAATAGTACAAAGCACTACAAATGTTAAGAAAGTAAAAAAAAAAAAAAAGTACTTACTGATTTTTTATTAGGCTGGCTGCTGTCATAGCCAGTGGTAACATCCCGTATATACAATATAGCAAATGTCCCACAGAACTTTGGATATTCTTTTGGAGAATCAAAATTGCGAAGCCTTTCAAATATACTTTTGATGGTGGTTGGATCATAACACAAGAAATATGAAGTTTTTGAAATATGATAACCATACCTGCACAAAGATTTAAGTGTTAAAATCAGATTTTAGATAACTTGAGAAAAGTATATATTCAAAGATAATTATTCTAGTATTATTTGGAAAGTGGGTGTCTTTAGTTCAGTTTTAGAACTTTTTAAAAAGGACTATTTTCAAAATCGAATTTAGAAAGCTAAAAGCAGGACCAAAAAAATGAGAAATTTGGCAACTGAAATGATAAATTCATAATAATAGAACTTACTTTTCATAAACCTTGATCAGTTGCTGTTTCAATGTTATATTCTTGGTTTCCAGGTAAGCTGCCATCTCGGCAGCAACTACAGCTGCACTCACCCCATCTTTATCCAAAACCGAAGTGCCACATAGAAAACCTAAGAATTAAAACACATTTTTTAAAAAGATTTTATTTATTTATTCATGAGAGAGACACACATACAGAGAGAGAGGCAGAGACAGAGGGAGAAGCAGGCTCCATGCAGGGAGCCTGGCGTGGGACTTGATCCTGCCTGGGTCTCCAGGATCACGCCCTGGGCTGAAGGCGGCGCTAAACCGCTCAGCCACAGGTGCTGCCCCAAAACACATTTTTTAAAAAGGGGAAAACTTAAGCCTATTATAATTTCAATAGTTTTCATTTACAGAACCAGTGGATTTAAGAGCCTGCAAATGGATGAAACCCACTGATACGGAAGATAGTTAGGGAACTTTTAAGGGTCTCCCCCACCCCTGCCATGATCAGTTCTCTGTGGTTTTTATAATTCAAAATGCAAAACCAGAAGACAAAAAGTCCTCTCCATAGAATTACTACATTTAAAAAAATTGCTCTCATTCAAATTTCAAGGATTTTAATATTTACTACATACCAATTGACTCCTCAAATGCAAAAAGGACTTCTTTTCCATTTGCCAGGAGGTCTTTTATCCGACTTCCAATCCATTTAAAACCTGGTAATGTTTCCTGAAATGCAGTGAAGGCCACTCTAGTTAAGTGACTCCTCATAAAGGCCTTTTGCTAAGTGCAGGTAACACTCTCCTAGTGATCTTCTCTTACAGTTTTTAGTCCACACAGATTTAGACAGTGGTAAGCACATAGCCAGGAAGTGCTTGGATTCATATTGCCATGAGTGATAACCCACTATTTATTGAACATAGAAATAAGTGATTTACACCAACTATAATCCAACATTTGTAAGTGGTGATCGATATAGTTACATAGTAACATTAATACACACATATATTATAATCATCTACTATTTACCAAGCACTATTAACAGCCGCTTTATATCATTGGGGGTTTTTTTGGTGTTTTTTTTTTTTTAAGATTTTTAAAATTTATTAGACACACAGAGAGAGAGAGTGAGCACAAGCAGAGGGGAGCAGGAGAGGGAAAAGCAGGCTGCCCACTGAGTAGGGAGTCCTATGTGGGGCTGGATCCTAGAACCCTGAGATCGTGACCTGAGCTGAAATCAAGAGTCAGTTGCTTAACTGACTGAGCCACCCAGGTGCCCTATCATTGCCTTTTTTAATGATTACAAAAACTCTGTTGCTGAAACAGAAGCTCAGAGACTTAGTGAATTTGCCCAAGATTATGCTGTATGTAAGAGATGGAGCGAGCATTTAATGACACTACTTCTCAGAAACTGGCCTTTGGGCTGTATTATAAGTACTAATAACAAGAACACCTATTAGAGTTATGATTTAGTTTCCTGAGTAATCGATTGATTGGTTACTCAGTTTCCTGAGTAATCAAAGGCCACAATGCTTTTTAATGATGCACAGCATATGCTTGAACCAAGTGTTCCTTACTGCAATACCAAGGCCTAAATAAAACCAAGAAAGTTACTAAGCCCTTCTTTGGTAATTAGATTTGGGGACTTTTCATCTGTGAGTTACTGTTCACTTTAAGGACATGAACTGTTTTAGAGTCAATAGAAAGAGCATGTGATATACACTGATTCTAGAGCTCACCATTACTAACTTAGGATTCCCACTTCACCTCTCTACTTCCTCAGTGAGAAAAAAATAAAAACCAAAACCGCTGCTGCCCTCCATAGAACCAACAACAAACACAAGGAAGCAAATTTATAATACTGGTCTTCAGAATCATGTTTTTGTTTCTCTTTTGTGCTCGTTATACATTTTTCTTGCCATAGGTATTAACGAGAAAAATGTTAACATTACTGTCATTCAGAATCTTAGGCTTGAATACATTTTTCAATTTCTTCTCTTTTGCTACTTGTATTATTATTATTTTTTTAAGTAGGCTCCATGCCCAATATGGAGCCCAATGTAGAGCTTGAACTCATGATTGTGAGATCGAGACCTGAGCTGAGATCAAGAGTTGGACACTTTACCAGCTGAACCACGCAGGTGCCCCTTTATTTGTATTTTTTCTAAAAGCCGGAAATTGAAAGTTTTATTTCATTAAAACAGGTATAGTTTTCTTTTATTCATCCAATCAGTATTAAGAGGCATAGCTTGGCTATGGATCAAAAAAAAAAATGATCAGAGGTGACATCTGCACTGATGTTTGGCAAAGATGGCAGAGGAAAAGCAATTTAATTGGCATCAGTCCCAGAAGCTATAAAAATTGTTAGCCTAACTGCCAAAGGCTTACAAAGGTTAATGATCTGTGCTGAGAGAGAGTTATTTGTTTCTTGGGTGTCGAACATTGGGTCTTAATTTACAATTTAGAAGACTAAGTTTCTGAAGACTGAATTTGAAGAGGCTAAACAATGGCCAATGATACCTACAATTTTTTTGGAATGGAGTTTATATTACTGATGAAGTCACTGGTTTTCTCAGTATAAAAACCAGATTTTGTTGTATGGAATAAGTTTTAGTGCAATTTTTAAAGAATATCTTATCTTAGTTCCAGAAATTCACATACTGGATGGACGTGGCTCAAGGTGTCTAAATCATCAAGAGATTAAGCAAGTGTTAACAGAATTAGAAAAAAAGGAGGGACTATAAATCAAATCAAGTCAGTTTTGGTGGGAAGATGGCTTTGATGTATAGAAATCGATTTAGAAAAGTAGCACACAGATGTTATCTGTTCTTACTTCAAAATGAAATCCTTCTTTAAGTGCAATTGCCTTCAAAATTTTGGAAGAGACTGTGGTGGCTAACATATAAACGTTCTTCACATCAGCATTTCTTGATTTATTTTTCTTCCAGCAATCAAACATCCACCACCCAAACAAAGCTGCCAACTCATTCCCTGTGAAAACTTTCCAATGACCACTGTAGAGAGAATGAAAATTCAAGTCAAGACTTTTATACCTTCTCACTAAAATTTCTTGACCCTAAGATACACAAATTACCATCCTTCACATAGGAAAATCCAAAAACTAGTATATGAGATTTCTGAGAAAATATTTAGTACTTATTTCTAGCTCACCAGTGGTGAACTTAGGGTAGAAAGGGCAGCAGTGCCTGTTAAAAAATTATTACACTATAACTTTCATTCTCCTACCGAACGTGAAAAAAGTGGTAATATGATGTCCTGTCTATGTAAGGACATCTGTCACAACATTATATTGGCAAAAATACACAGCAATCCCAAGGACCAAGATTAGAAAATGATTAATATTGATAAAGCAATCTGTTGGGATATTATACCATTTTAAAAAGTAATATTTTAAACAATATTCAAGTACTGAAAAAAGTGCCCACAGTACAATATTAAGTGGAAGACAAGATATGAAAAATGTATGTAATATGATAAAAATTTTATAAAAACAAGTAGATTTTAAATGTCTGAGTAGAAAAAAACAGAAAGGAAATGTCAAAATGCCAACCTCCGGGGGTTATCTTTGGATAATGGACTTACAGGAAATTTGTTTTCTTATTTTTTATTGTTTCAAATGAATCTGTAAGACTCAAAATTAAAGACAGTTTTTCAAAGTTTAGGATTTTATTTAAGTGCCAGGTTTACTTACTTCTCCTGAAGTTCTGCCACTGCTAGTCGGTCTGCATCAGGATCTGTGGCTAGCACTACGCGGGCATGTTCTTTCTCTGCCAGTCTCAAAGAAAGTTCCTGAAACAGTGAGCCAGATCACCAGATTGTATTCCAGATATTAAATTCAGTGTTAATATTCCTAAATGTAGAGGCACTATGTTAGTTGACATAAATTTTAGAAGGAATAGAGTTTGGCTAAATTTAAAAGAAGCCTAGAAGTAGGGATATTCACCAGTGAGATTTCAAATAAAACAGAATATTTGGCTCAAATATAATTTAAATTATGTAAACTAAAGTGGTTTCTGCCTTTCTAAGTAATCTTTGCATTGTCAATAAGTTCTGTCTATTGATGAAGTTTAATGCACTAATAATTTAAATAAAGAAAAAAAATACCAGCACAGATTCTCCTTCTTCAGGATTTGGACATTTAACAGTAGAAAAGTCTGGATCAGGATCTTTTTGTTCTGGTACTGGAATTGGAGGCTTAAAACCAAACACTTGAAAAGCCAGCTGCACATAGTCATGTCCGACTCCATGAAAAGATGTATGTACGAATTTCAAGGTAGTCTTTGAGTTTAATTCCCTATAAAGGAAAAGAATTATTCAATCAAAATCATAAAATGTGGTACTTGTGATATAATTAAAATAAGCTAGGGAGGAAGCTAAAATCTATTTTTTAGGATAAAGAAAATACACTCAGCACGCCAGGATGCTTTCCAGCCATAGTGTTAGCTATTTATAGAATAGTTAAGGAAATATGGAAATAAGGCAAAATCAAATTTTAGAGAAAATTTCCTAATCTCATATAAAGAAAACACATATTTAGCTATAATTTTAATAGCTTTATTAAGAAGTAATTAATACACTATACAATTCATTTACTTAAAGTGTATAATTCAATGGCTTTTACTATATTCACAGATTCAACCATTACCATAATCAATTTTAGAACATTCTCATTACACCTGAAAGAAACTCTGTACCCCAGAGCCACCACCCCCAACACTCCCATTCCTCCTAGTGATAGGCAATCACTAATATACCCTCTGTCTGTTTCTATCTCTCTATTGATTTGCCTTCTCTGGACATTTTATACAAACAGAATCATATATTCTGTGGTCCTTTGTGACTGGCTTCTTTCACCTAGCATGTTTCCAAAGTTTATCCATGTGTGGTATGTATCAGTATTTCTTTTTATAGCCGAATAATATTTCATTGTATAGATATACCACAGTTTATCCATTTATCAGTTGATAGATATTTGGGTTATTTCCACCTTTTAAGTATGATGACTAGTACTATTTAGCTATACTTTTCATATAATATATAATATAATATAGCCAACACATTTTTATCCCTATTTCTTTACTTTATTCATCAATCTTATTAAATGGTAACGCTATCCTATATTCCCTTTTGGATACCTGTGAAAACAGATCTTTTTAAGATCTTCCATGTATCTTCTGCAAATGTCCTGTAGAGGATCTCTCTTCAGTGGGCTGGTATCCACTAAATTATCATTCCAGGAACCATTCCAAGGTTCCACACATTCTTCTATACATTTCAGAATTTCTTTATCGTGAGGAGATGTGATCTGAGCACCAGTTTCCCAATAAACCTAGATGATAGATAAATACGACTATAAATACTGGAAATGTTGGCCAGATATTCTTAGCTACAGTAGGGATATTTGGCTTTATAAAGAAGCTTCCCAAATTAATTAAGTAGAAAATGTCAACATGGGACTAACTTTATACCAAAGGATGTTGATGATGATCCCACAGGGACTCTTCAATAAAATGATCATGTATTATTTTCACTTTTAGAAATCTACTTTAATAACAATACAAGTAAAATATAATCTGGGTATCATTATGACAACATATTAATATGTATATACCATAGAATCCACTCATAGATCTATAACTATATACTGAAGATAATCTAAGAAATCATGGGATATTTATAAAATTTGATACTAAAAAATCTTAGCATGATAAAGGAGTTCTGTGATAAAGAAGAAATTATTTCTCAGTTAAAAGTATATGTCACAAAAAAAAAGTATATGTCACAGCAGAGAAAGTCTATATCAGGAAGGTAATTAATTATTACATATACATTTCAGTATATGTATTTTCAGCACTTAATGAATGAAAATACATTGCATTAAACTGTCAGTTTGCCAAGTAGCTTGATCAGTAAGACATTAGGAACAGTTAACAAAAAAAAAGCAAGAAAATGTATTTCTATAATTCATAGGATCTCAAAGTTAGAAGGGACTCTGCTTAGAGAATATTTATACTGACTTCAACCATATATGTGACAGGACTACCCTCTTTTGCATCCTGAATGAAGGAAAGAAGAATACATATATGGACTACGTACTAAGCTCTGTGCCAAACAAGATAGTAGACTAGATGATCTAAAAAATTCTCATTCTATAAACACCTTAAAATGTGAGCTAATGTCAGAAAAACATTACCTAAAATGCATAGCTTAGTTCATAAGAAAAGGGAAAACTTCAGGCAATGGGAAAAAAAGAAAACCAAAGTGATTTAAGGCTGTGAGCTGATGCTGTGACTGCCTAGGGTTTGGGAACTGTCCACTTCTCTGGTTTTTGGGTTGCAATGCCATGTAGAAGGTAGGAAATTGGAGACCTGAAGATGTTCCCCCTTTCAGTAGAAATACAGAATAGAAGTTCTGCCCACTAGTATAGAAAGGTGTAAGGAAGCATGTCTATTCAACAGGTTTTACAAACTTTCAAATCTGAGGTCTCAGTTAACACAGAAATTCCCCCCAATAAGTGAAACTTCTAGTTCCTGTAGAAATTTAAAAATTTAAATTTTTAAATCACTGCTCAAACCTTAGTTATAACACAGGTGCAGATTAAACATAACATTTTCATCGATCTGATTGGCAAAGACCAAAATGATAATATGGAAGGTATAGGATAAAGATCCTCATACATTGTTAGTGAGATTATCAATTGGTACAACCACCTTGAATACAGAATGATAAATTTTCTTTCACTGCTCCGAGTGATGCTCCCACATTCCAAGCCACAAAAAAATATTCTATCCATAGGCTCCTTCAGGAAAATTTATAAATGAAATTTATAAATTTACCATGAAAATTTATAAAACATGAGAAAGAACTTCTAGCCTTTCTCCTTGCTCATTTCTTCTTGCTTTGTATATGGATGTGATGCCTAGAGGTACAACCATTATATGAGGTTTACACTTGAAGGAAAGGCCAAAAAAACCCTGCAGAGATGCCAGGCCCAACAACACTGAGCTACAGAACCCTGCTAGCAGCCACCTACCTGTGGACTTTACTTTATTTGTGACAAATTCCTATCAGCTTAACCATTCTTGTGGATTTTCTGAACCTATTGCAGAAAGTATCCCAATCTGATATAATAAAAGAAAAATCCATGCAACAAAATATACCCATGAATAAACTTTAAAAGAAATATGAAGGCCTCAGTTGGTTAAGTGTCTGCCTTCAGCTCAGGTCATGATCCCAGGATCCTGGCATGGAGCCCAGCATAGGGCTGAGCAGGGAGCCTACTTCTCCCTCTCCTATTCCCCTTGCTTGTGCTCTCTCTCTCTGTAAAATAAATAAAATCTTTCAAAAATATATGAAAAGGGCAGGATGCCTGGGTGGCTCAGTCAGTTAAGCGTCTGCCTTTGGCTCAGGTCATGATCCCAGGGTCCTGGAATTGAGCCCGGCATCAGGCTCTTTGCTCAGCAGGAGTCTGCTTTAAATATTAAAAAATATTTAAAATGTTACTAGAGTATATAATAGAAGTTTTGAAAGAATAGAAAGATATATACTATTCATGAATAAAGAGACTCAATAAATAATATAAAAATATTGAGGCTTCTTAGAGTAATCTACAAATGAGATATGATACCGATAAAAATGCCAAAATAACTTTTTTCCCAAATGGAAAACATATCATAATACTATGAATGGAAAAATATAAATAAAGTCAAAGTCAAATGATAACATTGGGGGAAAATACCTGCAAAACAGATAACCAAGAGCCACTTTTTATGTATAAAGCGTTCTCACAAATCACTAAGAAAAAGAGCAACAGCCCAAGAGAAAAATGGACAAAACTTTCAACATACTTCTCAGGAAAGGGAAAACAAGTATCATGCAAATATGGATGGCTGGGTGGCTCAGTTGGTTGGGTGTCTACCTTCAACTCAAGTCATGATCCTGGAGTCCAGGGATTGAGCCCTACATCAGGCTCCCTGCTCAGTGGGAGTCTGCTTCTCTCTCTGCCCCTTTCCTTGCTCATGCTCTCTCTCTCTCTCTCTTTCAAATAATATCTTTAAAAAATACCATGCAAATAAATGAAAAGATGCTCAACCTTAGTTATAACACAGGTGCAGATTAAACATAACATTTTCATCAATCTGATTGGCAAAGACCAAAATGATAATATGGAAGGTATGGGATAAAGATTCTCATACATCGTTAGTGAGAGTATCAATTGGTACAACCACCTTGAATACAGAATGATAAATTTTCAAAAAAAAAATGATAAATTTTCTTTCATATCTCTTTAACTCAAAAGTTTCACTTCTAGAAATTTATTCTATAGTCAACAGTGCCACAGAAATATATGTGGGCCACAAATGCAAGCTACTTACATAAATTTAAATTTTCTAGTAACCACATTGGGAAAGACAAAAAGAAACAGGTAAGATTAATGGTAATATACTTCATACAGCCCAATATATCCAAAATATTATCATTTTAACATGTAATCAATACAAAATTAATGAAATATTGTACATTCCTTTTTCATAGTAAGTCTTTGAAATCTGGTGTGTATTTTACACTTTCAGCACATCTCAGTTCAGACTACTCATATTTTATTTTATTTATTTTTAATTTTTTAAAAGATTTTATTTATTCATGAGAGACACAGAGAGAGGCAGAGACATAGGCAGAGGGAGAAGCAGGCTCCATACAGGGAGCCCGATGCAGGACTCCAGGATCACACCCTGGGTAGAAGATAAGCACTCAACCACTGAATCACCCAGGTGTCCCGAGACTATTCATATTTTAAATGTTCAATAGCCACAGGTGGCTAGTGACTACCATGTTGGACAATGCAGCTATAATAGCTAATTTATTGAGCACTACGCATTTTTCATGCAATATCTCTTTAATCCTTATTCTCACTCTATGACCTTGGTTCTATTATTTTCCCTAGTTTGCAAATGGGGAATCTAAAGCATAGGGAAATGAACTTGTACAGGGTAATAAAACTTCTGAATGGGGCAGACAGGTTTTAAACCCAACCCATAGTGTTAACTACTATTCTATACTGATTATATAAATCTACTTGCACACATGGATGAAGACATATGTAGAATAATATTCTATGTAGCATTGTTGATAAGTAGCAGATGATCAGAAACAAACTGTTCATCAACAGAGGATTGGTTAAATATATCAGGATTATGAGGAACCTGGGTGGCTCAGTTGGTTAAACATTCAACCCTTGATTTCAGCTCAGGCCATGATCTCAGAGTCATGAGATCAAGCCCCATGTCATGCTGCACGCTCAGTGCAGAGTCTACCTGAGATTCTCTCTCTCTCTCCCCATAACCATGTGTTCTTTAAATAAATAAATAAAATCTTAAAAAAATAAATCAGGATTCGTTTATATAGATTTTTAAAGATGAATGAGGCAGATCTATCTCCCTATCAATTGATTGATTGAGAGAATGATCTCTAAGATTATTTCATGCTGTTGCATGAAAAAAGCAAGGTGCAGAACACTCCATATAGTACTCTACCACTTATGGAAAAAAAATGTGGGAGTGACAAATACATATGTGATTACATGTACTGGGAGTAAACTAATACCAGAAACAATATTTGCTTCTGAAAAGGGGTATGGGGTGGGGGGAGGGAGAAATGGGAGATACTTTTTACTATTTAACTTTATACACTAACTTTTATCCTTTTATTTTAAGAAAAAAAATCTTTAAGGCCTTGAGGCTTTATGTGACAAATATGTTTGCCAGCAATGAATATCAAAACAAGACTAAGTCCCTTCATCCATGAGTTTGTACTGAGGAGTGGTGTTGGAGAAGGTCAAACAAGTCGATAAAGAAACAATTCATCCTAAAGTAAGCAGATAATCAGAGATGGTGATAAATTTGTGAAGGGAATAAACAAGATGAGAAAGTCATTGGGGGAAGCCACTTGGGATAAGGAGGCCTGGGAAGATCTCTTCAAGGAAATAACATCTGGGCAGGAACCTGAAGGATGAAAATAAACAAATCTGCAAGATTAAGGAAGAGCAATGAAAGCAAAGGAAAACCATCTACAAAGGCTCAGAGATGGGAAAGGGTTTGGTATACTGGAGGACAAAGGAGAAGAAAGAAGCGACAGCGTGACCAGAATGGAGTGAGCACAGGAGGGGAATGAATGAAATGAGGCAGGAGGCAGTCCAGCAAACCCCAAAGAGTTTGGATTTTATTTGGAGAGTGAGAAGTCACTGGAGAATTTTAAGCAGGGAAGTAACATGATCTGTTCATATTTTAAAAGATCATCTGGCTGCTTGGTGGAAAATGGATTTTAGGGGGAACAATGGGAGCAGGGAAGAGAGCAGTTAGGATGTTCTAGCTCTGACAGAGGATAACAATGCTTTAGAATGGTTGAGGTAGAAGAAGTGAGCAGAAGCAAACATTCAACATACATTTTATTTTATTTTTTTAAAGATTTATTTATTCATGAGAGACACAGAGAGAGAGAGAGAGGCAGAGACATAGGCAGAGGGAGAAGCAGACTCCCTGCAGGGAGCCCGATGTGGGACTCGATCCCAGGACCCCTGGATCACGCCCTGAGCTGAAAGCAGACGCCCAACCGCTGAGCAACCCAGGCATCCCTCAACATACATTTTAGAGGCAGAATCTGTTAAACCTGTTAGTAGGTTAAATGTTAGATGCTAAGGAAAAGGAGTAATCAAGAATAATCTTTGGTTTTTGTTTGGGTGGGTAGTAATGCCAATTTATAGAGACAGGGAAGAATGGGGGAGGAACACATTTGGGCATGTATGTGAGAGGCTGTGGGGGAATTAAGACTTCTAGAGACACTAATTCTGAAATGTCTGTTAGACATGCCAATGGTATCAAGAACATCGCTGGATTTAGGAATCTGATCTGATGCTCAGAGGAGAGATCTGGGTTCTCAGCTCTCTTGGACAGTTGACTTCTCCTTCCTTGCAACTCTCTTCTTATCCTTTTGGTTTTGATGGCACTAATCTCTCCTGGTCTTTCTATATCTCCAGCACTTCTTCTTTCTCCCTTCTCTTAAAGTTGATATTCCTTAGGGATCCCTTTTGGGCCTGTTTTTTTACTATATAGTATCTCTGAGCCACTTATCCAAGTAAAAGACTTCCAAATATGCTTACATGTTCTAATATGTATGATGGACCCAAAAGCTGTAACTTCAGCCTAGATTTCTCCCCCAAACAACAGATCTATATATCCCATTGCTTACAGGATGTTGCTACCTGGTTGACCCACAAATGCCTCAAATTTAGTATGTCCCAAACTGAATTCATCATGCTTCTTCTCTGCCTCTGTGCATGGTAACACTACTCATTCAGCTAACCAGGACCAAAATCTTAAATTAGTATTAAATCTTCTTGTCCCTAGTAATAAAAAAAAAAAAAAGAGCTCGGTGTACCTCCCACACAAGAAGAGAAACAAATATAAAGTCATGCACTCATCAGCCAGGAGCCACTAACACTGGCTCAGTATTGTGCTGTGTCCTCTGTTTGCCACTCTTTACCCTTCCCCACCCCGCTTTCTGCCCTGGAGACCGATACATCACATGGATCCTTTGGCCAATGGTACGTCCCAGTAGAAGCCTGCAGGGAAAGGAGCATCAGATCAAGGTACTGTTTCTCTGGCTCATAGTTGTACACGTTGAGAAGTAATAAGGGTCACCAGGGAAACACATTCTTAGAGGGCTGGTCCTCATGTTTTTATCTTCCTGTCCCCAACATCTAAGCCTGCTCCTCAGTGATGAGAATATACTCCTCACATGTTATTTATTTATTTATTTTCATCTTTTTTTTTTTAAGATTTTATTTATTCATTCATGAGAGACACCGAGAGAGAAAGGCAGAAACACAGGTAGAAAAAAAAAAAAAAAGAAACACAGGTAGAGGGAGAAGCAGGCTCCATGCAGGGAGCCCATCGTAGGACTCGATCCCGGGTCTCTAGGACCATACTCTGGGCTGAAGGCGGTGCTAAACCGCTGAGCCACCCAGGATGCCTGGTGCATATTATTTAAATTAAGAACTAAGAAATAAGCAAAAATTAGGAGACCAAGGTTTACCTTGTATCCATTGTCTTCTTTGCGGTTATGAGAAGCAGTAATCATCACACCTGCAACTGCTTTGAGCTCCTGGACTGCATATGGCTGAAAAAACAGTAACACCATAATTCCATTTTGCTTTCCAGGTACTTACACATTTGACATAAGAATAACCTTGATTAAATAGTGGGAGAAGACATTAAGACATAAATAGCCTAAAACTTTAATTAACAATCAACTCCACACTGAGTGGGATCTAACTAAAGTCATCTAACTGCTAGGTCACCAATAGCTACCTAATTGTTAGACTGAATGGTTTTTTTCCTCCTAGTCTAATTTTCCTTAGTCCTATAAACCTTTCTTATTATTTTGTTCATTTAACAGATATTTAATGAACACCTCCTATATGCCAGTCTCTGGTAATATGAGTGGTGAGTATAATCTTAAAAATGTTAGTGTTGGAAGTTAGTTTAGGAATCATCTAATCCATCATATTTTACACATTAGAAAATCATAAGGGAGAAGATTCACAGGTAGAACATAGCTCTACTGACTTCCAATGTGAAGATCTTTACATATACTCCATGACCTTTATAACATATATAGGTCAACTCATCATCTTCTTCCCCAAGTTAATTCCCAGGTTGGATTTTCTTTGTTCTCTGTAGTAGCTATTGTTTGTCAGCCTAGGATGTTCCCCCTACCCCTTCTACCATCACATCTGATTCTTCTCCTTCTGGCCATAGCGATATGAACACAAGATCCAGGTCTGACCAGAGTAAATTATTTGCCTGATGATATGATTCAGAGACTGGCTCATAAAAGCCCAGTCAGAGTCCTTCCCCAAGATGTTTCTTCTGCAGCTAGTTCAGGAAAATTGCCTTTTGACTCATGGTGATAAAGGGTGTAAATCTGGAACCACCAAAAATATCTTCCATATATATTAGAGCAAATCTACTTGTAATGAGAGAGGAAGGCCAACACACAGGAATTGAAGGTAGTTGGAAATGGCAAACCAAATAGCAGAATCCTACAGATATGGTCTAGATTTCTGGACCCTTCCTGTTTTCTGTATCCATTAGAGTTCATTGTTTAGTGATTCCTGCCATTCTTTGAGCCACTCAATATATTTCCAATTAATCACTAGAATATTTTATAGAGACATCATCTATTCCTCAAGTATTTGAGAAAACTTGCCTATAAAATAATCTGGACCTGCCATTTTTAATTTGAAAAGATTTTTTAAAAATTCCATTTGAGGGACACCTGGATGGCTCAGTTAGTTAAGCATCTGCCTTTGGTTCGGGCCATGATCCAGGTGTCCTGGGATCCAGCCAGGGAGTCTGTTCTCTCTCTCTCTCTCTCTCTCTCTCTCTCTCTCTCTCTCTCTCTCTCCCTCCCTCCCCACTGTTTATTCTCTCTCTTTCAAATAAATAAATAAAATCTTTTTAAAAAATTCCAGTTGAGTTTCATTATGCTTACAGGTCTCTTCAGGTTTTCTATTTATTTTTTTAAATATTTTGTTTATTTATTTGAGAGACAGAGCAAGCAAGCATGAGTGAGGGGCAGAGGCAGAGGGAGAGGGAGAAGCAGACTCCTCACAGATCAGGGAGCCTGATGTAGGGCTCAATCCCAGGACCCCAATATCATGACTTGAACCATAGGCAGATGCTTAACCAACTGAGCCACCCAGGTGCCCCCAGGTTTTCTATTTCTTATCAGTTTTGATGTATCAATTATTGTAGGAAACTGGCCATTTCATCTAAGCTTTCATATTTATTTGCGTTATGTTCAGAATACTGTAGTTTTCTTAATCTCTACTGTGTACATTATGCTCCCTTTTAATTTGTCTATCTCTTTTTTTCTTGAGCATCCTTGACAAAGGATGGTCTATTTTTATTAATCTCTTCAGAGAGTCAACTTTTGCTTTTATTCATGCCCTGTTTTTTAAAATTTTCTATTTAATTTATTTTTTCTTCAGAACTTCACTCCTCTCTCTTTTACTTTATTTAGATTAAGTCTATTTTGGTTATAACATACTCAGTTAAAGGGTTTTAGCTCATTATTTTTTCATCTTCCCTTTTTCTGATATGTTCATTAAGTCTATATATTTCCCTTGAAGTAGGGCTTTAGTTATATTCCATACTTATTGCTATTTATTATTTTTATTATGGCTTAGTTTCAAATATAGGTAGTCCTTGTTTTGCACAGTTCAAGATACATGAATTTCTGGTACCATGTTAGCTAAATAAAACCCAACAACACAGTCAACAACAACACAGTCTCCTAACAACACATTTAAATTTCAGTCACCATAGTATATTAACTGTGAGAAACTGCATCGAGTGTAAACTTGCTAGTTCCTCAGTCTACAAATAGTATGTATATAAGAACTCTATCATGATCAATGACCAATCATGTCACTATGTTAAAGTCTGTCAGGGATATGCACATCTGTTATCAGCTTTCAACAGACAGCAAAGCATGTAGTTGCGTTGCCTCCTTAACTCCTGGTGATAAATCCATGTGACAGTGTGCAAAAATGAATAACTGAAAGAAAGACCTGGCCAATAAATAGGAGAGTGCAGCAAAGAAACAAAATAACAACAATAGAAGGGAAATTTGAATCAAACATAAATGGAATTATAGAAAAAAACAGTTAGGAATGTTGACATTGCTGTCATTCAAGAGACTCTAGACATGCAACCCGATGAATTTAGTGAACATATGGATATAAAAGGAATGTGGTTGTGATGAAAAGGATGAAGATGTCCCAGGGGAAGTGATATTGGCAAACAAAGCTCACATTAAAGGAACTCTCAGAGAAAAATCACCATATTGAAAGCACAACAGATAAAATATGGGAAGCTGATCGAAAATTATATAGGAACATGATAATTCACCAAGACATAGATAGAAAGGATGCTCACTCATATTAAGTTATACAACAAAAAGTAAGTACTGTTCATACTCTTTATCTATCTACCTACCAAGTAGGTTACCTAAATCTGTCTGTCTATCTAGACACACAGTCTAAGTAATATCTATACCCAACATGGGGCTCAAACTCATGACACCAAGATCAAGAGTCACATGCTTTTCCAAACGAGCCAGCCAGATGCCCCTGTATTGTTCATACTCTTGATAAATTTTTTCCAAGAAATAAAATATTTTACTCTCAATGTTTTTAATGTTTTAATTAGAGTCTACTAAAATAACCATCAATTTTACTATTTTTTTCTTTTCCTTATACATTTTTAACCAAAAAGAGGGTATTAATGTTTTGACAAAAAATTTTAAAGTTCACAGAACAGTTGTAATTTTTCCATTTTTTTAAAAAAGATTTTATTTATTCGTTTGACACAGAAAGAGAGAGAGAATACAAGCAGGGGGAGCAGCAGGCAGAGGTAGAGGGAAAAGCAGACTCCCCGCTGAGCAGGGAGCCTGAGGTGGGGCTTGACCCCAGGACCCTGAGATCACAACCTGAGCTGAAGGCAGACACTTCACTGAGCCACCCAGGTGCCCCTCTATTGTTTATTAAGGATCACTGGGCATGGTTTCAGCTTGTAGTTGTCTTTACAGTCCTGTACTCCAATGCAAAGCAAGGACTGCTTGTAGTTTCTAATCTTTATTATGATATCTTCCTTAATCCAGGAATTATTTATAACTATGTTTTTAAAATTCCAAATTATATAGAGTTTTGTGAGTTTCTTATCTCTAATCTCATTGCATTGGGGTTCAGGACCATGGCTTGATAAGCAGTTCTCAGATATTTATTGAAATTTCCTTTGTGGCCTTACTTGGTAAGAATGAATATCCTGCCATTACTGAATACAGGGTTTTCACACACCGCCCCCACTCAGATCAAGCATGTTAATAGTGTGTTCAAATTTATCCTCAGTCATTTTTATCTGCTTGATAAATCAGTTTCTGAAAGAAGAGTATTAAGACATCAGACCATTACTGTGGACTTATCTTGTTATAGATCAAATTCGTTGGTGGGCCAACACATGCTTGTTGAATGAAAATAAGCTCAGAGCAATATTTGTTTTCCTTCTTTGGTCCTTCATATCACTTAATAGAGAACTAGGAGCATGACAAAGATGTGAATTCCAGTTGAATTAAGAAATCTTTTCAAGAGCAACAAATTGTACAATCAATAACATGGCATACTTACTACAAAAGGTGTAGGAACATATCTTGAAAAAAGGTACACAGGAACATCTTTGGCCAGTAAGACTGCAGCAGTGAGTTTAGCAAGTCTAAAAAGAGAGAGAGAGGGAGAGAGAGAGAGAGATTTCACTTAGTTTTTAGCTTACCATACATTTTAAAACCCAAACTTCCATAAATATTTCATATTGTAATTATTCTGAATATATAGTAGCCTAATACAACCAATTCTTACAATCACTGGTTATTTAGGCTTCATGCTCCAACTTAAAAACATTAAGTAAGATTTTTTTTAAAAAGGAACTTAATAAGAAATAGAACTGATATTTTAATTTCTTCCTTTTTCCTCATTCATCTTTTGATGGCTCCTTTACTAAGAAATAAAACCCCAAAAAGGCAAGAAAGAATGGAGGAAAGTGAAATAAGAGACTTGGATAAACACAAATGCTTAATTAACCCCTGAAAAAGGTATCACTATCTCATGATTATCTATGTGTGAAAATACTCCAAAACTAATTAAATAGGAGAATAATGAGAGAATACAAGCTGTATAATCACTTCTACTGAATGTTTTTGCCAAAATATAAAAATCATAAGCTATGATGGTGTCATTCTAAATACTAACTCTATTTAAAAATTTTAATCCTGCCTGTAAGAGCTAAAGGTTATACTGGAAGGTCTAAAATGCTTCTATTTCAGCTCCAAAATAAACATCAGCATGTGATCACATTTCTATTTGACAGTTTCCCGTTTGAGAAATCCTCCTAATTTTTTTTCAGGCTTTACTCCAATCCAACTTAATCTCTGAAACAATTAACACTGTACCTCTGGCTGCTGCAGCTGCTAGTTACTTGACCTCGGGTGTCATACCCAACAACAAAGCCTCTCTGCTTGAAGTCTGAGAAACATCTTTCAAGGTATTTGTACATTCCCTGAAGCAGATAAACACAAAAGATTAGTTCCGACTAATACCTGCATTTTCCATAACTTAAGATCTATTATTTTTATGTGTAGTGTGCCACTTACTGGTTCATAGGAAACTGGCTTCCGCCTTTATGCTCATATATACCAGTATGGGAACAGTACTGTTCAGTCTTCAAATATGAGATGACAAACATTTATTTCCTCAAGTTTCAGATACATTTTCTATCACAGAAATATCAATTATGTAACTATAAAAGCCATTATGATATAAAACATAAGGGAAAAAAGAAGGGACAAAGAGAGTGAGTATGCTTAAAAAAATTGTTAGAAGAACCAAAAGAAAATGTTTCTTGCCTTAAGGCTATAGAGAACAGAATCTTGATCATTTTAGGCCCTGCTAAATCATAAGACTGAAGCCAACCAAAAAGATTTGAGCTACTTATGAGAAACATTTTTAATCAGCAACATTAACCTTCATTAGGACCTTTCTTGGTCAGCCCGGGTGGCTCAGTGGTTTAGCACCGCCTTCGGCTGGGGCGTGATCCTGGGGACCCGGAATCCAGTCCCATGTCGGGCTCCCTGCGTGGAGCCTGCTTCTCCCTCTGCCTGTGTCTCTGCCTCTCTCTCTCTGTGTCTCATGAATAAATAAATATTAAGAAAAAGAACTTTTCTTTCTTTCTTTTTTCTTTTTCTTTCTTTCTTTCTTTCTTTCTTTCTTTTCTTTCTTTTTCTTTTTTTCTTCTTTCTTTACCTTTTTAAAGATTTTAAGTAATCTCTACACCCAACATGGGGCTTGGAACTCACAGCCCAGAGATCAAGAATTGCACATTTTAGGGATCCCTGGGTGGCTGCAGCGGTTTAGCGCCTGCCTTTGGCCCAGGGCGCGATCCTGGGGACTCGGGATCGAATCCCACGTCGGGCTCCCGGTGCATGGAGCCTGCTTCTCTCTCTCTCTCTCTCTCTCTCTCTCTCTCTCTATCATAAATAAATAAAAATTAAAAAAAAAAAGAATTGCACATTTTACTGACTGAGCCAGCCAACGCCCCATTAGAACATTTTTTTTTCTTTAAGATTTTATTTTATAAATTCATGAGACACAGAGGGAGAGAGAAGCCGAGACACAGGCAGAGGGAGGAGCAGGCTTCCCGCATGGAGCCCAGTGTGGGACGCGATTCGTATCTGGAATCATAACCTGGCAGGCGCTCAACCGCTCAGCCACCCAGGTGTCCCCCCATTAGAGCATTTCTTAAGAGTGCTGATCCCATTAGTAATTCCTTAGTTTTAAAATTTCACAGAAAGAAAACTTCATGAACGGGAAATTTGCAGTTAATGATGACCAAAAAAGAAATGAAATATTTAATATTTAAAACATCACAGTGATAAACTAAAACCATTTATCCTATGAATGATTTGCTAACCTTAATAAGTTCTTTCATCTCTAAAAATAACACTTCATATTGTAATAGTTGTTTAAAACCACTTTCACAAATGTTGCCACATTTAGTCCTTACGACCTCAAAGGGAAGGAATGTAGATATTTTTTCTATTTTTGTCCATCTTTCAACATCTCTTCAAAGAAAGAGGAGACAGAGTAAGATTGAAGCTCCACTTAATGACCTGCCCAAGGCCATTCGTTCAACTAAAACTACGTTATTCTAATTTATTGAAGACCTACCGTATGGTGACACTGCTAAGAAACAATGTGGCAGCACCAAATGAGGCCCTAGTGACTTTTCTTTTTTTTTTTTAATTTTTTTTAAAATTTTTTTAAAATTTTTATTTATTTATGATAATCACAGAGAGAGAAAGAGAGAGGCAGAGACATAGGCAGAGGGAGAAGCAGGCTCCATGCACCGGGAGCCCGACGTGGGATTCGATCCCGGGTCTCCAGGATCGCGCCCTGGGCCAAAGGCAGGCGCCAAACCGCTGCGCCACCCAGGGATCCCCCCTAGTGACTTTTCAACGTGTTTTTTCCATGACTCTTTCTAGTATAATTATTCTTTCCAACCAACTTCTGAAAGAGGGTTTCAACTACCTCCATTTTGGCCTCAGTCTGTATACTCTATTTGATTAAGCTCTTCTTTCCAGCTTATCTCTTAAAATCAGGCAAAAGACTTGGCTGGCAAAGCATCCTGTGACGGAAACCAAAACTACCTATCCCTCAAATAATAATGTCAGCAAGACCCTGCATGAGTGACCCCAAGAAAATAATCAGTTTGATCTTTACTGTCCACCTGCACATACTCCTACTTTTGTCCCACATTTTCCTTATATAAGCTTCGAAGATTTTTCAGCACTTTGGAGACAGTCTTTGAGATGGTAAGTCCACTGCCTTCCTAGTTGGCCTCATAAATTCCTTTCTTGTTTCACCACCACTTGTCTCTGCCTTTGGATTTTGTCAGTGGCAAGTGGCCGAACCTGGTCTACTTAGGACCCTCAGAGCCAGGTGCTCTTGCACTCCTGTACTCCAGTTACACTCCCTATGAGTGTGTGTGTATGTGTATGTGTGCATGCACGCATGCTTAACCTAGCCCACTAATTGGTTAGTTTCACTAATTTATTTCTAATGATGATGCTATCTTAAAACCTCACAGAACTTCCTATTATTCTCTGGTATAAAAATTTATCGTATCTTAAAACCCCTATTCCTAGATTCTGAAAAGGGTTAGGGTAAAAGAATCAGATTCCATTAGGCTTTTCCATTACACACATGGAATTTCAAGTCCAGTAAAAAATTTACACTTCCACAGAAACTGATTTTCAAACACTCCTCCAACTCTTTTTGTAAAGTCAAGGATGTTCATTTAAAATGAAAGCTTATGAGGAAACCAATTTATTAAAAAGAGTAAGCTGATATATCTCTGGATGAGGAAAAGTAAGGGGACAGAGGTGCAGGAAGTGGCACATATCCTACCCATTTAATCATTTTGTCATCACTTCCTCATCCCCTGCATTAGCCTTTGCCTTTGAGAATTCCTTTACAACGAGGCTAAAAATGATTTACTGTTTGCCAGTATTGATTAGAATTATATCTACTGAGCAGTTCTCTAGCCCAGAACTATTTTTAGTATATGGTAAATGTGTTTTAGCCTCAAGTGTAGTTCCTTAAAGCTGTGAGAATGATTCACTAAAAAAGAAGTAATTTGTTTCTAGAGAAAGTTTTATAAAAGTGGGGAGAAACAAATCATATACACTGTCTTAAAGAATTCTCAAATGGATATGGAAAACCACATTAAAAGGAAATATTTTCAACGAAAATTTCCAAATACTCTGGTTAACCTTTATCAATGGCTATATGCCAAAATGAGTAATTCTTTTTTTCTATCTTTGTTTCTCTGTATTAATTGGAAATGTCAATATCCATTTCCTGATTGCAAATGCAAAGTAACATTGTTAAGAGTTTGACAATGGTAGCCAAAAGAACTCTTAATCAAAAAATTAGTCTATGACCTTGAAGATACACAAATGACTTCTAAGATAAATGTTGTGCAAGACCAAAGGTCAGCATTTATCCCACATTTTTTATTTACAAGTACCTTCCTAGATATGTTTGTCTGTGGTTTTTTTTAGAAAGGCACTACCTAATTTATAAAGCCAAAAAATACAGTAGGAAAAAGTATATATATAATACTTTGTAATACTTACCTGTGTTGACTGTATTACTGTAAGGTCATTAATATAGCAAAATCCTGCCCCCATAGCAGAACGAAGTCCTGCAGTCCCAAAAGTCATTCGGCAACAAAGACGATCTCGCAGTTCCTTGTTCATCCCATTCCGTAACAGATTTTCAATCTGCTCTTTCGTTTTTGGATTCTATAAAAAAGTATTCAGATTAATGAGGATCATAAGCAGATTCCTAATGTGAAGCCCATCTGAGGAGCCAGCTAAGTATGCATATATCACAAGGTTCTAGACAAACTATAAATTCCACAGTGCTACTGGTCAATCTTAGTATGTATAGTAAAACAATACCAGCCATTCACTGAGTCCCCCAAGGAGCCAAGCCCTTACTGAAGTCGGATTTACATATCTCTAATTGTCATAGCAAACAATATTCAAGAATTTTTTAACAAATTGACAAATTGATAAACTTAAGAGCTGTGGATCCAAAATAAGCCTCCTAGTCAAAAAATAACATTAATTAAATTGGAGTCTATATTAAGTCTTAAAAGAAATATGGAAGTTATTGGGTAAAAGCCATTCAACACATGCCTACCAACTACTTCCTAAATCTCTGCCATTCAAAATGACCAGATAAGCCTTCCTGCTCTTTAAAGTCACAGGAAACCATTCAGTGTATCTACAGTAAAGGTGATCATAAAAAGGTCTTAGATGTTAAATGTGGATTTAGTTAAGAATGAGAATGAAAATTCAGTCCAAACTTGGCTTGTGAAGCAGGACACACTAACATCTATATTTTAGGATTCTGTGTTTCATTATCACATCCTTTACCTTATTTTCATAAAGCTCAAAGATGCCCTGACTGATATAGGACTTCACAAACAATTAGCAAACTTAAAATAGAAATACAATTATAATTAGAATAAAATTTGAATGAAATTTTCCAGTATTTTCTTTTCAAGAGTAAGAGTCAAATATTATGAAAATAAAGTGAACCACAACTCCCTTCCATGCTATGTATAGTATGGATTTAGTCCATACTAACAACTTAGATCTTCTACATTTATAGCCTATACAATGATGAATGAATATTCAGAATATTCGGAATGATAAACCAAGGCACCTAATAGGTGCATATTTGTACTTGCAAAGTACAAAAAAAACAAAACCCCAAAGTACAAATAGAGTATATCTGAACTTGCAAAGAAATAAAAACATATTAATAAATAATTTAAACAAAAAGTTTTCTGGTTATAGTGGAATTAAAGTAACCGGAGTAATGCCACAAACTAATGAGAAGCCATGAGCATTCTGATTAACTGAAATTTTAAGTACAGTGCTCCTGTACTTTCTTATTTACAATGCACTCCTTACTCATTAGGAGGAGCAGCAAATCAGCCAAAAAAGAAAAAACTGGTTCAACTGGTGTCAACTGTAAAGAAAGTGCCTCTAAAATTATCCTGTAAGTCTGTGGAGAAGTTATATGATTTACATACTTTTTGGTAATGCACTTATTGATCTATCATATAAAATGAAAATTAATTTTTTTAGAAAGAAAATGCATTCAGTCTGAACTAAATTTGCTCTTAACTAGCATATCTTAGAATCCTAATAATTTTAGTACCCAAAATAGTAATCTTGCAGAAAACCCAAAAAAATTTTAGTGACCACTAGCATTTTCTATACTTCATCGGGAATAAAGCTGATTGTTTAGTAGGAAAATCTGTAAGCTAGAGAATACAAAATTAAAGCCATGCATGCATTATTTTCAAATTTTACCTGTTTACCCAAAATTTTCCTTTAGGTTCTAATCTATGGATTGCTGCAACTTTATATGGCTGAAATGAAGAAAATACAGTGCCTTCTTACATAATACTCTATGGAATTCTGTTTTTTCTATAGTGTAGGTCCATAAAGCCCAAATTCAAAGAAAACATGAAAGAACTGATTTACCAAAAAACAAAAGAAAAAAGAAAGGCAGCACTTTATATATGTTTATTTTATATATATATATATATATATATATATATATATATATATATATATATATAAAGAAGTACCTCTTTTAACATACTTCTTACAAACTCTCATAGATGTGAATAAAGCTATGTACCAGATCAAAGCCACTCCAACTCTGCCGGCCATCAAATGAAAGTATTCACCCAAGCTTTTCTGAACCTATTCTATTCATAATTAGGGGGTTTCTATATTATTTACGTGTAATAAATATAAATATACATAAAAATATATAAAAGTAGTTAATCATCATTATATAAAACAAATCAAGTTTGCCAATGAGGAATTCACCTATAAATCTTCTTTCCTAACTCTTTTATAAACCTAATATTTGTATAATTTTTATACAACTTGAATCTACTCTATTTGTATTCTAGCACTAAATCTAACAGCTTAAAAACAATTTAAAATGTGAACTTCATTGTTTAGAAGATTAGAACAGATCTAAAAGAACATAGTATGTATTTACAATCCAAATCCTAATATTGTTATATATCTCAAGATGAGGCAATATACAAAACTGACTTTGTAGTGGCTCAAATATATCCAACGGCAAAGCTGTAAATAACATTTGAAAATGTTACTGACAGAGGCTAGTGTCTAAACATAAATACCAGTTTTATTTACAGAGAAAAACATATTTAAGTTTATTTCTTTTTTTAAAAAATGTTTTATTTATTTATTCATGAAGACAGAGAGAGAGAGAGACAGAGACACAGACAGAGGAAGAAGCAGGCTCCTTGCGGGAAGCCCAATGCAGAACTTGATCCCAGGACCTCTGGATCACAACCTAAGCCAAAGGCAGACAGACGCTCAACTGCTGAGCCACCCAGGGGTCCTTTAAGTTTATTTCTAAACAGAAGTTAAAATAGGAAATTGCAGTCTGAAAATCTGAAGGGTAAATGCAACTGACATTTACTTCTCAGGGTCAGCCAGCTTGAAGATCCAAATCTAGAGACCTGAAGCAGAACATGTTTTTCCCAACCAGATGCTTCCTTATTGAATCCAAAATATATCTTGCTAACCAATAATTTTTTTCCCATTTAAGGGTCTTTGTGTAATTATAAATTTAATTTGTCCATCTTTAAATTCTTTTTCATATTGAAGTATACAGTTGACAGAAAGTATTATATTAGTTTTAGGTATAAAACACAGTGATTCAATAATTCTGTAGATTACAAAATGTTCACCATGGTAAGTGTAGTTATACCATCTGTCATATCATGTTAACACAATATTATTGACTGTATTCTTTATGCTGTACTGCTGTACTCTTCATCTCCATAACTGGAGAAATTCCATAACTGGAATTTTGTATTTTTCACAATCCTTTTTGCCTATTTTGCACATGCCCCCACCCCTCTCTCCTCTGGCTACCACCAGTTTGTTCTCTGTATTTATGAGTCTATTTTTGGTTTTTGTTTGTTCATTTGCTTTGTCTTTTGATTCCAAATATAAGTAAAATAATTTATCTTTTTAAAAAAATGTATAGAAATTGGATTAAATTGGGATCCCTGGGTGGCGCAGCGGTTTGGCGCTTGCCTTTGGCCCAGGGCGCGATCCTGGAGACCCGGGATCGAATCCCACGTCGGGCTCCCGGTGCATGGAGCCTGCTTCTCCCTCTGCCTGTGTCTCTGCCTCTCTCTCTCTCACTGTGTGACTATCATAAATTAAAAAAAAAAAAAAAAAAAAAAAGAAATTGGATTAAATTAAATTGACTTAGATAAATCTGAATGATTATCCTTGTCATATAAAATGAGATTTCATTATTAATAATTGGCTTAATAAACTCTGAGAAATAATCACTTAATGAATATAAAAATTATATCCAGGAAATAAATATTCTAACTATTCAAAAAGCAGAAAATATGATTTCAAATATAATATATTGTTATCATTTAAGTATAATACCAAATATACCAAAATTAGTGTGAAAGATCAAAATGTTGATTATTTCAAAAATTAAGATTACACAGACATAGTCTTTTTTCTAACAAAGCACACACATTGAACCGAATTTTACTGTTCAATAACATAGTCATACTCAAGTATCCATTAAACTTTAAACAAAAAATATTTCTCATATAAGGCAATCAAAATAAAACATTTCAAATGTTTGCTGTTTTGCTCTAGGTATTCTGATACTTTTCTTGACTAAAACTGCTCTTAAAAACTAGTCTTAATTTTAAAAAAATAACAGAAAAAACAATCTCAGTAGATGCAGAGAAAACATTTGAAAAAATTCAACACCCAATAATTATTTTTAAATTTCTCACTAAATTTTTAATGTAATTCCAGGAGGATCTAACCAAGAGAAATGAAACATGTTCACACAAAGATCTGTAAGTGAATTTTAATGGTAGATTTATTCGTAACAGTTGAAACCAGTTGTCCATCAACTGGTGAATGAATGAACAGATTGTTGTACATCCATAAAATGGAATAACATTTAGCAATAAAAAGGAATAAACTGATGAAATAGACAACAAAATGGATAAATCTCATAAGCATTATGTTAAGTGAAGGAAGCCAGACACAAAAAGTCTATAACCTGTATGATTTTTGCAAATGCAAACTATAGGAACAGTAAAGAACTATTAAAACTCAACAATAAAAAAACTCACCCAATTTAAAAAGAGGCAAAGGAGGGGCACCTGGGTGGCTCAGTTAGTTGAGTGTCTGACTTTGGCTGGGGTCTGATCTTGGGGTCCTGGGATCGAGCCCCTGGGATGGGTTCTGCATCAGGATCCCTGCTCAGCAGGTAATCTGCTTCTCCCTCTCCCCCTCTCTGACTCCACGTGTGCTCTCAAATAAATAAAATATATATATTTTAAAGATTTTATTTATTTATTTATGAGAGACACAGAGAGAGGCAGAGACATAGGCAGAGGGAGGAGAAGCAGGCTCCATGCAGGAGTCGGATCCAGGACTCAATCCCCAGACCCCAGGATCATGTCCTGAGCTGAAGGCAGATGCTTAACTGCTGAGCCACTCAGGCATCCCTCAAATAAATAAAATCTTAAAAAATAAAAATAAGAAGGGGCAAAGGATTCACTAAAGAAGATATATATAGCCAATTAGCTGTAATAAGTATTGATTCATGCTACAACATGGATGAACTTTGAAAATATGCTAAGTGAAGGAAGGCAGACACAAAGGCCACATACAACCATAGT